AATAAGTTGAACGAATGAATGTCTGTGCTATGTCAGGCTGAAGCAAGTGTCATAATGGAGCTGAAGACATGCCGAGAGCGCATGGTGGAAGGACTGAATATGTCTTCAAGGAGGAGGAAGCGTGCTTCTGATAGATGGAGAAAGGGAAATAATTGTTCCAGGAAGCGTGGGCTCGATGAGCCCAACTCACTGGGAGAACCTCGCTTGTCAGATGTGGCTGAGACATGAGTGAGTGGGTGGGGGTTGGCGCTGCAGGGCTGTCCAGGTGGCAAAGGGCTTGAAAGCTAGGCAAAAGGATGTGGCCCTTATCCTCCAAGCAGCGGAGTGACAGAACTGTGGCAGCTGTTGGGGGGCAAGGGGGTGAGGAGGATGGACTTGGGCAATCAGGACACCAGCCAGGAGAAAACCAGAAAACCAGATGCCATCCAGTCAATTCCAACTCGGCAACCCCATGTGTGTTCGAGTAGAACTGCTCCATAGGGTTTTCAATGGCTGTGACCTTTCAGAAAAGATCCCTGATGGCTCAGTGGTTAAGCCCTCGGCTGCTAACTGAAAGGTCAGCGGTTCAAACGCTTCATCTGCTCCTTGGGAGAAAGATGTGGCAGGGAGTCTGCTTCCATAAAGGTTGTTGTTGTGTGCTGACTCATAGCGACCCTATAGGACAGAGTAGAACTGCCCATAGGGTTTCCAAGGCTGTAATCTTTACAGAAACAGACTGCCCACATCTTTATCTTGCAGAGGGACTGGTGGGTTTGAACCGCCGACCTTTCGGTTAGCAGCTGAGTGGTTAACCACTGCACCACCAGGGCTCCTTCCATAAAGATTACAGCCTTGGGAACCCTATGGGACAATTCTACTATGTCCTATAGGGTTGCTATGAGTAGGAATCAATTCGATGGCAATGGGTTTGTTTTGGTTTGAGTGATCTTTCAGAAGTAGATCGCCAGGCTTTTCTTACAAGGTACTGCTGGGTGGATTTGAACCGCAAGATTTTTGGTTAGCAGCCGGACTCCGGAACTCCTCCACCTAGGAGAAGAGTCTCCAAATCATTGCAGAGGGCCGTGGCAGGATGGGGTGGGAGCTGTGTGCGAACCACTGACCTGGTAGACAGGGTAGACACCCAGCCCAGAAGTGGTGAGAGTCTGAGCTCAACAGTGGGTTGTAGGAGACGGACGGATGCCTGTGACGTTAGCCCTGGTGCCTAGAAGCCAGCAGCAAACCAACTTTGACATCTTAATCCTCATCTGAAAAACGGGAACAATCATAGCACCCACCTCAGGTAAGGGGTCTGTGGGGTGAAATGCTCAGCCCTGGGCCAGGCTCGAAAAGGCCAAGTGGATAGAACTGACTCACCTTCAGGGCGACCCAGAGAGGAGTCGAGCGCACCCCTGGAATCTTGCCTGGCGGGAGGGTCCGCTGTCTCCTCACTCTTGCCTGAAATGCCTTTCTCCAGACACCCCACCCCATTCCTTCCTCATGGCCTTCTTCCAGGGGGCCCCTTTGGGTGGGTTCCTTCTGGTGGCTGGACCCAAGCTGATGTTTTCTTTCTTTTCTTCCTTCCTTCCCTCTTTCCTTTCTTTCTTTTTTCCTTCTTTGTCTCTCTCCCTCCCTTCCTTCCTCTTTCTCTATTTTTCTTTCTTCCTTCCTTTCGTTTTGTGCAAACATCATCCTACTATTTATTTCCAAAACTTCTTCATCACCCCAAACAGAAACCCCATACCTATGAAGCGGTCACTCCCCCATTCCCTCCAGCCCTTGGTAACCTCTAATCTATTTTCTGTCTCCGGGCATTTGCCTAGATCTTTCATGAAGGAGCCCTGGTGATGCAATGGTTAAAGAGCTCAGCTACTAACCAAAAGGTTGGTGGTTCGAACCAAAAGACCTAGTGATCTGCTCCCATGAAGATTAACACCTAGGAAACCCTATGGGGCCATTCTACTCTGTCCTATAAGGTCAACTATGAGTTGGAATCAACTTAACAGCACCCAACAACAACAGATCTCTCATATAAGTGGGATCATACAAATATTTGTCCTTTTGCAACCTGAGTTTCTTGACCTGTCTTTGTTTTTGTTTTTACAAGTCGACATTTTTACTGTTAAATTCAACCAGTACGACAGTTATCTGTCAGGAGTGCTGTAAAACTTTCTAAAGGCTTATCCTCAGTTGTAGCCCTGGTGGTTAAGAGCTTGGCTGCTAACCAAAAGGTCGGCAGTTTGCATCCACCAGCCTCTCCTTGGAAACCCTATGGGGCAGTTCTACTCTGCCCTATGGGGCCACTATGAGTAGAAATCAACTTAATGGCAAAGGGCTTGGTTTTTTCGTTTACACTTAATTATTTTTAGCATCACGGTTTTTTTGTTTGGTTGGTTTTTGCTTTTTTAATTGTAAAATATTCATAACGTCCATTTAAAGTGTACAGCTCAGCGCCTTCAGAACATTCACAATGCTATGCAACCATCACCACCCTCTAGCTCCAGCACATTCTCACTGCCCCCCAAAAAATCCATGAATCAGTCATGTTGACCTCTGTTTAACCCTCGAAGACACCCCTCGATTGTTTTTTTTTAATTTTATTTATTTTGTTGTTGTTGAGAATATACACAGCAAAACATAGACCAATTCAACAGTTTCTACATGTACCATTTAGTGACATTGATTACATTCTTCAAGTTGTACATCCATCCTCACCCTCCTTTTCTGAGCTGTTCTTCTCCCATTAACATAAACTCACTGCCCCTGTTTCCTATCTAACCTTTCGAGTTGCTGTTGTCAATTTGATCCCATATAGATAGTTCTTAGAAGAGCATAATACTCAAGGCAGACATTTTTTACTAGTTTCCCTGTTCTTCTTTAATGGGATTTGAAATGTGGTGACTGAAAAAACAAAGTCAAAACAGTGGAGCAAAGTGTTGCTTTGTTTTCAGTCCAGGTTTGCCCAGATAACTAAAGTCAACAGTAGCAACAAAGCGAGGGCAATAATGGTAACATTTATTGCAGGCTTTCTCCTGTGCTAAATTGCTATTCAAGGGGAATCACTTAACCCTCAAAACAACTCTGTGAGCTAAGTACTAGATTATTATCACTTTTCCATGATACAGAGAAGGTGGGTAGATGGAGATGGAAGATAGGCCTGCCTCTGCTTCCTCCTCTCTGTGTGATCTGGGCCAAGTGATTGCCCTCTCTGAACTAAGAACAGCAGCACCTGCTAGACTGTTGTGAGGATGGAGTGAGAGGGTGCGCCTGGCCTGGTGCCTGCTAAGCCTTAGCTGCTCTTGTCTTTATAGGAGGTGCACACAGGTGCAAATGTATAGTTTGAACCCACAAGCAGGTCAGAAAGGGGAACGGGCAGACAGTGTGGAGGTGCTTTCCCATTCACCCTAATGGCTCCCTACGGGCCAACTCACTTCTTTTCATGCTTATCTCCTCACTCCCATGCCCCCCCTTGACTCCAGGCCTCTCTGAGGGCAAGAGCAGCAATCAGAAGCGGGGAGAGGGTAGAAAGCTGGAAATCACCCCAGTGGGGGCCACGGCAGGGCAGGAATCTGTCTTTGTCCCCAACACCTGGCAGAGTCGGCGCCTGATGAGTATTTGTTTAATGAATGAATGAAAGTTCTGTGAGAGCTCCAAGGACATACGAGATGTGGCCAGGCTCAGTAAGGAGGACCCTGGGGACAGGCACAGGACTTAGGTCTGTGTTCTTGGGTAGTCCCTGGTGTTATGGGTTGAATTGTGTCCCCTAAAAAGATATATTGAAGTCCCAGTCCCTGGTACCAGTGAACATGACCTAGTTTGGAAATAGGGTCTTAGAGAATGTTACCAGTTAACATGAGGTCATGCTGGAGTAGAGTGGGTCCTAGTCCAATATGAGTGATGTCCTTAAAAGAGGCAAAGAGACACAGAGAGATGAGCACACCAAGGGAGGACGGACATGTGAAGACAGAGGGAGAGATTGGAGCGATGCATCCACAAGCTAAGAAACGCCGAGGATTGCCGGGAACCACCAGAAGCTGGAAGAGGCCAGGAAGGATCCTCCCCTGGAGCCTTCAGAGGGAGCGCGGCGGCCCTGCTGCACCTGGGTTTTGGACTCCCAGCCTCCAGAATTGTGAGACAATAAATTTCTGTTGTCTTAAGCCACCCTGGGAAATTAACACATCTGGGGTCTGCACCCCACACCCCTTCATCTGCTGGTCCTCGAAATCCCCATCTCCCGAACCCGTGCCCACACTGTCCACCTTTTACAAGCCCTGCAGGGTTTCTTAGGCCCTTTTTGTATCAGGCACATGTCCAGCAGTGTCACCAATGACGCAGCAGTATCCCCTTCCTCCCGCCTACCCTTGGGTGCCTGGTCTGGTGACCTCCAAGCCAGGGTTTCCAAGTCTGAAGGGAAGGCAGGGAGCAGGGGCATCAGGGCGCTCTTCTGAGAATCCCTGGCACTCCTGGGGAAGAGAGGGGGTGGTTCTTGGAGCATCTTGGAGAGGACAGGGCCCTCCCCTGGAGATTTGGGGTGGGCAGCTGGGGCACCCTGGATGGATGCGGATCAGAGTTGGGAGCCTAACCCTAGCAGACCTGAGCACACAGAAGCTGCTGGGAGCTTTCCGGCCTTCTAAATGTTTAAACAGTGAGATGTATGGAGAGCCAGGGCCAGCCAGGCCACCCAGGCCACTGGTTATTTTCAGAACAATTCTTTCTGCGCTCCAGAATAAACTTTCCCTCTCTCACTAACCTCCCAGAACCAGCAGCCACAGCCTTGAAGGAGGAGAAATAGCAGCTGATCGCCCCCAGAATTTGCGGGGACAAAGTTCTGGCAAGCCAGGGCTCCAGGGTTCATCTCTCTGCTGACCCACCCACAGCCAGCAGCCGTGTCCCTGGTTTTCTGGGTCCCTGGCTGGTGCAAACGGTTAATGAATTCAGCTGCTAACCAAAAGGTCGGAGGGTCAAGGCCACCCAGAGGCACCTCGGAAGAAAGGCCTAGAGACTAACTTCGACAAAATCAGCAGTTGAAAAACATCCGGGGCACAGTTCTACTCTGACACACATGGGGTCGCCCTGAGTCAGAATCAACTCGAAGGCAACTGATGGTGGTAGTGGTGGCTCCAGGAAGACAGGGCGGGAGAATACGGGGCCACTAAGGGGTCAGCAGAGAGAGCAGGCCACAGTGGACTCCGCTTTGGCCGGCGTTCCCACGGTGCTTCCAGATACTTGTGCAGGAGGCGAGGGGGCCACCCGCCCCTCGCCCCAGGCTGACAACGGCACCCAGCTCCCCTTCTTACCCCCCAGGGCAGGGGAGCAGTTTGAGTCCTTCCTACCAGAGGCGGAGGCAGGCCCGGCATTGGGTGTCTGCAAGTCTCCGCGGGCAGTCCCGCGGCCCATGCAGCAGAGCCAGAGCCGAAGGCGCTGGAAGACAGTCTTGCGGAAGAGGATGAAGACCCAGGGGTCCAGGATGGGGTTGAAAGCGTTGAAGCGGAAGGCGAGGAGATCCCCCATCTCACTGCTGTCTGGGGCGACCGCCTGGGTGAAGCCACGGATCTGCGGGCGGGGCGAGACATCAGAAGGTCTCCTGTCTCCCCCCATGCACCCAACCTGAGCGCCCCTCCTCCCACTCGTTCATGGGGGAGGGGAGGTTGAGGAAGGGGGCATGTATGTCAAAAGGGGAAGGAAATAAGATGAAAATTATGAAGTGCATCCTGCGCAGAGGGAGGGAAAGCCCCAGGAAACAGCTCCTGCCGGCCTGGAGGGAGGGAGAGAGGTGGAGAGCTGTGAATGTGGGTCTCCCGGCCCTTCTCAGCTCGGGGAACCCTCGGGCTCCAGGATTGGGGAATCTGCGGTCTCTAAACCTGTTGCCCTAGAGTCGATTTTGACTCATAGCAATCCTATAGAACAGAGTAGAACTGCCCCTATAAGGTTTCCAAGGCTGTAATCTTTACGGAAGCAGACGGCCACATTTTTCTCCCTGGGAGCAGCTAGTGGGTGTGAACAGCCAACCTTTCTATTAGCAGCCAAGTGCTTAATCACTGCGCCACCAGGTCTCCTTTCCTCCATCTCTAGACCCCCTGAAGTATTCTGATGAATTGCTATGTCCGTGGGTGGGGTCCACACCTTCCAGTCTCTGAGTCATGTGTAACCCCCAAAAGGTTAGAGGACCCTCCAAATCTAGCCGAGCCCCTGGCATCTTACAGAATGGGAAACTGAGGCCCTGAATATAGGTGGCAAACCCAGAGTGTCACACACACTGGGCTAGGACCAGGGTCAGTGCTACTTAACGTGGGAGGGGAGGGGCTGGAGCCCCTGCAGGGAGCAAGGGTGGGGCAGGAGAGTCAGGCCACAGAGATGGAGGGTGGGGCTGAGATGGGGAAGCAGGGAGTGGCGGGGGAGATCAGGCTCTGGGATCGGAGACCCAGGGCCCCCAGCTCTGTGTAATGGTGGACAAGAGACATCTCCCCTCCGCTGCAAAAATGGTGCTGAGACGGGAACTCTGTCCCTCTTCCTGGGACACACCTGTGGAACCAGTGCATAAGGCCGTCCTGAAGACGATCTGAGAAAGCGTTTGTAAGCCGCTGAGCACAGGGCACAGAGCCCTGGTGTCCAAACCGTTAAGCGTTCAGGCGCTGATCGAAAGGTTGAGAATTTGAACCCACCAGCGGCTCTGAGGGAGAAAGACCTGTCCGTCTGCTCCTGTAAAGATCACAGCCTAGGAAACTCTATGGGGCAGTTCTACTGTCACAAGGGGTGGCTCTGAGTCAGGATCGACTCAACAGCACGCAAAGACAACAAAGAGCGTAGGGCAGGCACAGGCCAGGTGCTCGTGAAAGGTGGATCTTATTTACAAGAGGGCTCCCTGGGTGGCAAAAATGGTTAAGCACTCAACAACTAACCACAAGGTTGATGGTTCGAGGCCACCTAGAGGCGCCTTGGAAGACCGGCCTGGCGATATGGTTCCAAAAGGTCAAAGCCTTAAAACCCTGTGGAGCAGGTCTGCTCTGACACGCGTAGGGCCGCCGTGAGTCGGAGTCAACTCTACGGCAATTAACAACAGCACTCGTCATAGCGGGAGGGGTGAGTTTGATTATGGAAGAAGGGCAAGAGACATCTGCGAACACTGTGGAAGCGGGGAAAGCAAATGGGAACTCGCCACAAAGTTGGGAGATGTTTCCCCTTTTGAGTCTCAGTCTTCCCATCCATCAAATGAGTACAACCCATGGAGGACAGAGTCAGGCACCCGCGCTCCCCACCCCCCGCCTGCCCCAGCTCTGGAGGGGACTCACCGTGAGTGGCAGGGAGCACACGGCCATGATGCCTGTCATGAGGGCCAGCAGGATCAGGTAGTCCACCTCATCCTCGCGTGCCCGGGACCCGGGCACCACTGAGCCCTGGTGGCGCCTCTGCTGGCGGTACATGCGGCAGAGGCTGAGGGTGACGGAGCCATTGCAGAAGAAAATGGCGACCACCAGCAGAGCCACGAGGCTGGCATAGGCCAGCGAAAAGGCGCAGCCGCCCACCTCAGCTGAGCGCATGCGGATGAAGCACCAGCTGCCCGGGCAGTACTGCTGGTGGCGGCCCAGGCCCAGCAGGGGCAGCGAGCAGAAGAGGGTGCAGAAGGCGTAGATGGCAGGCAGTGCCAGGCGGGCACAGTGTGGCCCGTCCAGCTGGGCGTAGAGGTAGGGGTGGCTGAGTGCCAGGCAGCGCTCCACAGCCATGGCAAAGAGGATGAGCGTGGAGGCCAGGCCGAAGAAGGTCATGGCGAAGGCGAAGGCGTTGCAGAGCGCGGGGCCACCCCGGGCCAGGCCCAGCAGGGAGCTGTTACGGGCATAGGCCACAAACACAGCCGGGCTCAGGAAGCAAGTGCCCAGCAGGTCAGTGCCTGCCAGCCCCGTGACCAGCACCGCAAAGGCCGAGGGGCGCGACCGCCGCCGCGCCCCCAAGATGCCCAGGGCCAGCCCGTTGCCCACCACGCCTGCCACGAACATCAGAGTGCTGGTGGCTGGACCCACTGAGCCCTGCACATAGGTGAGGTTCTGGCACGCATCCGCCATCCTGGGCCTCCTCCGTCTGCCGGCCTGGGCGTCGTGGAGGGTCCCCGAGGGTGGGGTGTGGATGGGCAGGGAAGGAGGGACAGGAGGCTGACTGGGATGCTCCTGGCCACGCCTCAGCCCACTCAGATGCTCACCACCGGCGGCCTCCCAGGTTCCTCAGGGCAGCTGGGGGCTCTGTCTCGTGTCTGTCTGTCTCCTTGCCTACCCCCAGCTCTCCTTGTGTGTATGTGTCTGTCTGCCTGTGTTTCTCTCCCCTCAGTCTTCCCCCGTCTCTCTCTCTTTCGCTTTCTACCTCTAAGTCGCTGTCCTTCGCTCTCCAAGTGTCCCTAGTTCTTTCCTCCTCTGTCTCTCTGTCTCTTGCTGCCTCTCTGTCTCTGTCCCCTCCCCTGCCCACCCGCTCTGCCGTCTGGCCCTGTCTCCCCTCCAAGTTGCCTACACCCTTGCTCTCTGCATTTCTGCTCTCCCAGCCCCTCCTCACCCCACCTCTGGTCTCTCTCAGTCTCTCCTTTCGTCCTGCTGTCTGTGTCAGTCGCGGTGTGTCAGCTTCTCCCTCCCTCCCTGCCTCCCTCCCCATCTCATCCTCCCCCCAGCTTTTTCATTTCCTCTCTCTGCGCCGCCCTCCTTCCCCCGCTATCTCCCTCCCCTCTCCTGCCTGCTCCCCCCACCCCTGCGGCCCCCTCAGCTCCCAGTGCATCCTTCTCCCTGTGGCCTCTCTCAGCCCTGGGTCCCCATCACCGCTGAGCCTCCTGCCACCACCCTGCTTCCAGGTCTTTGCCCTTCTCCCACTCCTGTGCTCCGTCTCCGGCCCCTGGTGGGGATGACGGGTGAGGACCACTGAGTCATCCCCACTTGGAGTTTGGAGCCCCAGCGGGGCCAAGACAGGGCCCAGCTGACCAGTCCTTGAGGGAGTGGCACGACCTGGCCATCTGAGTCTATTCTGGGCCCAGCCCTGGGTTTAGGACATTGCCTGAGGATTGAGAAATGACCAGGAAATTCCTCCCTGATTCACTGTTTTCCAGGCACTACCAAGATTTCTGTGCCCTGAACACAGTTCACTCCTTCCAAAAGGCTGAGGAAGGAGCTGGCCAGGCCAAAGGGAAAAAAGCCAGTCCCTCCAGCCCTGTGCTGGGGCTCCCAGCTCTCGCATGCTCAGCCACAGAGCCCTGAGAAGGGAGCAGTGGCAGAGAGCGAGGAGAAGAGCAAATCAGGCATCCTGTTGCAGGGGACAGGCCAGAGGACATCTAGGACCCATCATCAAAAGCAGCACCCTCCCGCCCTCTCCATTCTCCCTTCATACCCTCCCCAGCACTCCCAGGCCCCAGGCCAAGCTTTGTGACCTTGGCCTCCAGGAATAATATTTTAGCCACAGATGACAGTCCAGGGCTCCAACATGGCTGACACACAGATCTCTCCCACCCCACCCCCCAAAACCCACCACCCAGCCGCCGCCTCCCTGGTGCCAGCATGGTCAGCGTGCTTGTCCCAGCTGCCAGCACAGGGGTCTCGGGCCTCAGAGCCCACTCAGTCCCCAACTTCCCATGCAGCTTCTTGGCCCATCAAGGCCAGATGGCACCTCAGGGACCCTCTTTGAATAAAAGAAAAACCGTTGCCATCAAGTCGATTCCAACTCATAGTGACCCCATGCGTTACAGAGTAGAACTGTCCATAGGGTTTTCTTGGCTGTAATCTTTATGGAAGCAGATTGCCAGGTCTTTCTTCTGAGGCACCTCTGGATGGATTTAAACTGCCAATCTTTAGATCAGTAGTCCAGCACAAACCGTTTGCACCACCCAGGGACTTCAGGATGCTCTTAAACGGTCTAGCATCCACTTGATCGGGTTCCTGTCCAGATTCAGCCACCTGCCTGCTGTGTGGTGGTCCTAGGTGAGAGCAGGAAGCTGATGTACCTCAGTTTCTTCATCTGGGGTGAGACTGGCCTTGTGATACTATTGGCTGGCCATGGCCAGCACCCCATTCAAGGGGGCTCTTTGTGGCAAGGAGTGAGCATTGCTGAGACCAGGAGGGATGCTTCTGACCCCAAAGACTCCACTAGCTGGCAGCTGCCACCATCCCCTCCCCCACCCAGTGACCACAGCCCCCTCCCCCTGGCTCCATCTCCCTATCACCCATGCCCAGCCAACCTCCCCAGCTTCCTACAGATGGGTGCCCCAGCTCCAGCCACACCAGGGCCCCCCAAGGTTGCCACACAGCCCAGCCCCATGGTCCCCCCTCATGCTTTCCAGCCCCCAGGCAGTCCAGAAGAGAACTCAGGAAGTTTTATCATATTAATGAAGGAGGACAATGATGCCTGGCAGGCTTATGTCCTATCAGGCTTATGTCCTATCTTGGCATCAGGGGAGTTGGGGAGCGGGGGAAGAGGGGAGCTCTGGTTCCTGGAGCCTCACTCCCACTGGCTTCCTGTCCCCACCAGGGAGCATGGAGCGGTCAGGAAGTCCACTGTACCCCATAGCCAGTGGGACCTGGGACAAGCCCCATTCCCTCTCCAGACCTTATTTTCCCCCCTGTGCTGTGAAGGGGCCATGAGCCCTTGCAGCCCTGGCATCCACTGAGCTCCTGCATCAGGAGCAGGTGGGGGTGGCGGTGACTGTAACTCCTTGCTGAGCTAAGGGTCCCTGGGGTCCGTGCCAGTGCTGGGCACGCCTCCACCCACCTTCTGGGCACCCTGGCCTCCTGCCTGGCTGTAGCCCCAGCCAGGGCCCAGAGGCCAAACCTACAGCAGGGGCCACAAAGGATTCTGAATGCAAAGGGTTCCACTCCATCCAGGTGCCTTGGGGTGAGGGGTCATCCCAGCTGGGCTGTGGAGGGGTGGGGACTTCCGGGGTGGGGGCCGTGGGCAGGAACTGTGCTGGGAGGGTGAGTTAGCAGCTCTTTCCCTCCACCCATTCCTAGGGACAGGATGGCGGCCTCCCAGAGGAACTCCAGGGCCGAGGGGAGAAGATGGGCAGAGACAACTGGAAATGGGGACTGATTCAAGGACACACAGCACCCAGGAAGGGGAGGGAGGAGATGGCAACCCAAGAGAGGGTGTGGGCGCAATGGGGACTGTGAATGTGTGAATTTCCTGTGTAAGTCTGTGTGCAATTATTTTTATCAGCATCGTGAGTGTGTGTGTGTGTGCATGTGTGTGTGTGTGTGTGTGTGTGTGTGTGATTGCAGGCTCCTTGTGTGCGCTGGTGCTGGGCACAAAAATACATCCTAATGGATCTGGCTGTGGGCATGTACAGTGTGGCTCGAGTGGCTCGATGACTGTGGCCATGTCTGGCGTGGGTTGCGACTGTGCATGACCTTACGTGCACGTCTTTAGGGCTACAGTTGGATTGTGTCCATTTGTGTGTGTTTGTGGCAGTAGGTGGTCATTACTGCAGGACTGTATGATGTCTGTGGATGTGTCTTTATTGTGTGGCAACTGTGTTGTGTGTGTATATGTGTATATGCATGTATTATGGTCACATGGGACAATGTGTTTGTGGGTGAGCATGGCTGTGTCTGCGTGTGAATTGGTTGCTGTTTTGCATTGTCCATGGATATGGCTGTGTGTGTGTATGTGTGAGTATGTGTGTAATGTAATGTGGACTCGTGTGTGTGGCTTTATGGGCATGGATGTGTTTACATGGGTGTCTTACACTCTGTGTGGTTTTGTGGGAAAAATTTGTCTCTAAGGATATAGCTGGGTCTATTTGTATGTCTGTGTGTGTCTGTTTATTGCATGCTCGTATATTTCTTTGTGGCTATGTCTACCTGTGTGTGTTTGTGAGTGTGTGAAAGGGGGTGCCTCATGCAGTGGAAAGAGGGGCTTTGGAAGCTCATCTCCACCACTCACTAATCACTAGACGTGTGACACAGGGAAAATTACTTCCCCTATCTAAGCTTATGGGGCCCGGGTGGCACAGTGGTTAAAAAGCTCAGCTGCTAACCAAAAGGTCAGCAGTTCAAATCTACCAGCCACTCCTTGGAAACTCTATGGGGCAGCTCTACTTTGTGCTATAGGGTCGCTATGAGTCGGAACTGACTTGACGGCAATGGGTTTTTTTTAATCTAAGCCTTGGTGTTCTTCCCCATAAAATGACCACCTTGACCTTCTTGGGGTGTTGTGTAAAGATTAGAGAGAACTCACCCTGCCTGCTTCGCAGAAAGCCCTCAAATACCTGGTGGTGGTGGTGTTATCCATTCAACAAATCTAACCAATATCTTACTGTGTGCCAAGGGCTGGGGACCCAGAGGAGCTCAGAGGGATCTCACAGGGCACCAGCTGATGGGGATGTTCCCAAACAGCTACATCCACATGGTGTGGGACAAGTGATGGGAGAGGAAGCTCGTGGCTGGAGCCTGGGTAGGCTGAGTCATCTCATGCAGCTCAGACTCCCATCTGGGTGGGTGAACTCACGAGACCAAGCGCCAAGCAAGCCAGGAAGTGCATCTGGATCAGCCACAGCCCTAAGGCCAGACCCTCTCCTGCCTCCCTGATTTCCATCCTCCTGGCCCTGTCCCACCAGCCACACCTTGGAAATCATATGGGGCAGTTCTACTCTGTCCGACAGGGTCACTATGGGTCAGAATCGACTCGACAGCAGCGGGTTTGGTTTTTTGGTTTTTTTGGCCCTGCCCCTGGGAGAAGGCCTCACACCCCGTATGCACGCCCAGATAGCTGCCAGGCCTGCCTGTAAAAATATGTGTTGAACTCCTGGCCCTTGTACCTGTTGATGTGACCCTGTTTAGAAATAGGGGGTTTCTTTTGTTATGTGAATGAGGTCATACCAGTGTAGGGTGGGTCCTAAACCTACTCACTTTTGAGCTATAAAAAGAGACACACACACAGGTGGAAGAGGGACATCATGTGAGGATCATCTACAAGCGAAGGATCAAATGCCAATGATTGCCAGCAGCTACTAAAAAAAAAAAAAAAACAAAACAAAAACCAAAACCGTCAAGTTTGATTCTAGCCCTATAGGACAGGGTAGAACCGCCCTATACAGTTTCCAAGAAGCAGCTGGTGGATTCGAACTGCTGACCTTTTGGTTGGTAGCCAGACTCTTAACCACTGTGCCACCAGGGCTCCAAACAGCTACTAGAAGCTACTATAACCTTTACTCCAGGTCCCAATGGTGCAAACAGTTTGCGCTTGGCTGATAACCTAAAGGTTGTTGGTTTGAGCCCGCCCAGCAGCATCGAGGACAAAAAAGGCCTGCAGTCTGCTTCCGTAAAGATTACAGTCAAGAAAACCCTATGGAGCAGCTCTACTCTGTGACACATGGGGTCGGCACGAGTCGGGATCCACTTGACAGCACAAGACAGACAGACTAGGAAGGACCTTCCCCTAGAGCCACATCCTGAATTCAGACTTCTAGCCTCCAGAACTTCAAGAAATTAACTAAGACACTGTGTCCATCCTGATCCATCCCAGAGCCTACAGCGAGAGGCCATTTTCTCAGCCCACTGCCTTCCACCCTAAATGAACCCTTGCCTACCTAGCTGCCTTTGCTTCTCATCCCTGCTCCACTCGGTGCCCTGCCTTTGCCTGGGCTGTGCCCCTCACCTGGGTGACCCTAACTTCCTATCCCTCAAGCCCCTCTGCACCTTCGGCCTCTCCCACACTGTCATCCATCTAATCCCCCAACTCCAACCTCACTCCCCAGCTGGTCAGGTGATGGCATCTCTCTGTGCCTGTTTTGGTCCCTGGGTGATGGAATTGGTTTGCGATCCACTGCTAACTGAAGGGTTGGTTGTTTGAACTCACCCAGTGGCACTGTGAAAGAAAGGTCTGGTGATCTGCTTCTGTAAAGCCTATAGCCAAGAAAACCGTACGGGGAGTTCTACTCTGTAACACAGATTCGACAGCAATAGGTTTGGTTGTGTTTTTTTTTTTTTTAAATGGGGATAAACAGAGTCTTTGGGGGAGCTTGGTGATTTAGTGGTAAAATTCTCCCCTTCCATGCAGAAGACTCAGGTTTTATTCCAGCCAAGGCACCTCATGCATAGCCACGACCCGTCTGTCAGCAGAGGCTAGAGTGTTGCTACAATGCTGAACAGGTTTCAGCAGAGCGTCCAGACTAAGACAGACTAGGAAGAAAGGCCTGGCAATCTACTTCCCAATATCAGCCCATGAAAACCCTACGGATCACAATGGTCCAATCCACAACCCATCATGGGGATGGCACAGGACCAGGCAGCATTTTGTTCTGTCGTGCATGGGGGGCCAACTCAACAATAGCTAATTAGGATTACAATTGTGAGAATTCATGGGGCTTGTGAAACGGGACTCCGCCTAAGTGATGGTCGTTATTAGGGCAGCTGGCTTTGGCTCTGGGTTACCCACCTTCCAGCCCCGTTAGCTGAGCCAAGCATTGCTGAACATGCATGTCGGGTGCAGCAGGAAGACAGGTTGGGATGGGCAGCGGTGGCCCACAGAACCTCCGGGGTCAGCAGCTGAAGTGGGAGAGGAGTAAAGGAAGCAAACGCCTCTCGAAGCCTGGTTCTTCCCTCTTTGCCTCATGACCTGGCACTGACCCCAGTCTGGGCTTGACCTCACAGCTGGGGGTGGCAGGAAAGAGCTCCGGGTGACCAGAACCTGGTGGCTGCCCAGTCATACCCTTAAAGAGATTATCCAGGTCTCCAGCCACTGTTCCATGCATGCACGGAAGCTGGTCCCCAGGCACCAGCCCTGTCCCTTCTGATTTCCCCTTGTTCTCAGCATCAGCTGTCCACATCCTCCATCCTCCCTCCCTCTCTTCCTCCAAGCAATCCCCTTCCTCCGGCCAGAGCCCTGGTCTCCTCCAAGCCTGCCCCTTATTTCCAGACACCCAGGTCCCATTCAGCCAGCCCCACTTGCTTCTCCACAGCTTCTGTTCCCCAAGACCAGCTGGTGTGAAGGAGGAAGAATTTGTGCTACAAGGCTTCAAGGTCCCAGGGTTAGAAGGATCTCAATCCCAGCAGACTTGGCTTAAGAAATCCTCTCACTCCTGAGGTGCCAAGCTCCGTATTCCTAGCTGGACAAGGGGGCAGGACCCCAGGACCCTGGCCCCACAGAGTTGGAAGACTCCAGAATTCTAGCCCTCCAAGATCCTGGGATTTTAGATTCTGCATTTCAGATTCTTAGATGCAAAGATGCTGGGCCTGGGACGTTCCAGAATTCTCTGCCCCCTTTCCTCCCAGCATCCTTCCTCCCATCCACCCTCCTCCCAGCCCATCCTTGGCTCTCTCCCTGTCCCCGATCTCCCACGGGGCACCCCCAGACATGATGCAACCCGGGCCGGAGCCGGCTGAGAGGTGGGAGGCAGGAGGGGGATGTAATTACAGCCACTCCAGTCTCCATCCAACAGGAAGCTCAGAGTTGGGGCCCAGGGGATCTTAATCCAATGTGTATAATGGAGCAATCGGCAGACTCACGCACAAACCCTCTGGGGAGAGAAGGCAAGATTCAGGGGTCCAGCCTCCATCAGCCCCAAACTAGGGAGCAGGGATGTCAGTCTCTAGAGAAGAGGAGGTGGGGGAGTGAGGAAGGGGTCCCATTGCTGCTGAGTCAATTCCGACTCATAGCAACCCTATAGGACAGAGTAGAACTCCCTCATAGGGCTTTCAAAGCTGTAATCTTTACAGAAGCTGACTGCCACATCTCTCTCCCGTGGAGCAGCTGGTAGGTTCAAACCACAGACCTTTTGGTTAGCGGCTGAGCTCTTTAACCTCTGCACCATAAGGAACGGGGTAGGGGGCTGCAAACTCAGTGGACCTCAGGCAAACCAGGTAAAATAATTAGCAATTCACCATTTGCAACAGAAACATGGGTTCAAGAGCATTTCCTCTTTCCCTTCACTCCGCTAGAAGCAGCCCCCACCACAGGCTCCATGACAAACGGCAACTGGGTCTCAGGCTCCTTAATCAGGAAACGATAGGGCATGGTGGGGACTTTGATGAGCCAGAAAGCACCCCCCACCACCACTTCTCATGGCCAAAGATCTGAGGTCACCAGAACTTCCAGTTCCAGATAAGTCAAAAATATGGGCTTTTATGTGAAGCACCCCTGTTTCCATTTGGCAACCAAATCAAGTACATTTTTTTTCACATCATGTAGGCCAAAAGTCAAGAGCTAAAAAATATCACTGCAGACCATATCTGTCCTGCAGCCACTAGTGTATGAACTGACAATCAGAGAGCAGGAACCAGGGCCGCCACCCCTGCGTCCCCAGAACAAAGGAAATAATTGTCGAATAAATAAATGTATGCGTTAGTTTGTCTCCTCTCCCTTCCTCTAGCCACACATCCGTCTCCCTTCTCCCCGTCCCCAATTTTTAGTACCATCATGTCCCAGCTCAGATGTCCTCTCCTCGAGGAAGCCACCCCTGACTTCCAAGCTGAGTCAGGTTTCCCAGCCTACTGAGCTCTCCCATCCCAGCCCCGCCCACTCTGGGTCATCACTGTTTGGGAACAGGTCTGTCCCTCTCACTGGGCTGGGAGCTGGGGAAGACAAGTCCAGGGCTGGCTAAGTCACAGTCACAGCTGTATTCCCAGCATCACTCACCACAGGGCCGGGCATAGAACAGGTACTTGGGGAGTGCTTGGGAGAATGAATGAATGAACAAAGAAGAGTTCAGTGCTGGAGGACAGAGGTGGGCCTTTGATGGGGTAGCCAGATGTGAAGAAACGGGGTGAGGTCATTCAAGGGACGAGAAACGTGGGAGGACTCTTGGGCTCCGAAGAATCTCCAGCCACTGTTCTTAGGCCCAGGAGGGAGGGAGGAGAGGGGCCAGCTGATGGATCCAGTCCACAGTCCTGATCCCATTACCTCCTAGCTGTGGGATTTGAGTAAGGGACTTCTTCCTGCTCAGTGTCCTCATCTGTAAAATGGAGACAATACATACAAGTAGCCAGCTGCCTTCTGGGGCTGTTGGGGCTGTTAAATGAGTCCAAGTTATGGAGTGTTTAGTCGAGGCCAACGATGCCCCCTCCACAACCACACCTCACATATCCTCACTCCCACCCCACGTACAGTCAGGAGAAGTGAGGAGACACAGGTTCCCCCACGGCGGCCGCAATCTCTGTGGGTGCCTCAGTTTCCACGAAAGGGCAGGCACCGCCACAGTCATCACGTTTATTGAATTCATACTTTGGGGGCAGAGGGTAAGGTGTCGGGTAGGCTCAGAGCAGGACGCAAAAGAGGCGCTTGTCGCGGAAGGGGTTCTCGGCGGCAGGCACTGGTGTCACCAGCGGGTCGTCTTTGGCGTGAGCCTCACAGAAGGCCAGGAGCTCGGCCGCCGCCTGCGACACCTGCGGGCGCCGGAGTGGAGAGGTCGGCTCCCCGCCCAGCCTGCCCCCGGGGGCCATCCCCGCGCCGAGACCTGCCCTGCGGTCCCTGGGAGCCGCCCCCATCTGCCCCGCGCCCCCGCCTTCGGGGTCTCTCTCCTGCTCCACCCCACGGCCCCCCCTGCGGCACTTCCCCCTTTCCCGCCCAGTTCCGAAGGGGCTCCGCCCACCGCGGCTCCAGGCCCCGCCCAGTTGGGACCCCTTCCCGAGAGACCCCGCCTTCCTCGCCCACTTTGACCTGCACCTTCACGCGGTCGATGTTCACCTCCAGCTTCAGCTGTTCCACCGTCTTGCGGGCTTCGGCGATCTTGGCCATGTTGTTGGACATGGCTACAGCGGGGAAGGGGCTAAGAGCCGGGTGGGAGTGAGGACTCGAGCGGATGCGCTAGGGCACCTCTGGATTCCGAGGTGGGGGGAGGTGACCGGGCCCAGCAACAGGGGCGTGAGTGGAAGAGTGCACGAATAGGGTGGGTGCCCAGAGGCAGGTGGAAGGAGGGACAGGGAAAAAGAGGGGACGGGGGAAGGGTTAAAGAGACGCACAGATGGGGGACCAAGAGTCAGACTAAGGTGGGACAGGAGAACAGGCAAGGGGGGGGTGGAGGGACTCCCAGGTACGGGTACCTAGAGGCAGATGGAGGGGGAACAGAGAAGGGCTAGGGAAAGGAAGATGAAGGCAGGTGGGAAGAGGGACAGAAGGACAGGGCCACAGGTGCTGGCTCAGGATCCAGGGACCCAGGCGTCCTCACCCCCCAGGGGTAAAGCATGAGCCAGGAGGGGAACCCCCCCTCCCCAGGCCAATTAGCCGTGGCTCCAGGGAGAATGGGGAATTAAGATCTCGGCGGGAGGGGCACAGAGGGGGCCTCATTAGGGCTTTGGTAGCAGCTGCCCCGTCCACCCCCCTCGGGGGGCCCCCACCTCAGCCCTGGCCACCTCAAAGGCTCCTCTGCTCATTAGCAGCCGTGGGAGCGGACTGGGGGAGCCCAACCCCGCCCTGGCGAGGGAAGGAGGAGAGAGAGACAAATGGAGAAGTAGAGAGAGACAGAGAGATAGAGGAGAGAAGAAGACATCGAGGGGTAAGGAAACGGGAACAGCGGGACAGAGGAGGGAAAGGACAGGGGGGCAGAGAGGGAAATGGAGGGGCTGGGGGAGAGATGGATTGAGGAGGGGGGAAAGCGGGGACAGATGGAGGGATAGAGGGATGACAGGCTGACGGCAGACAAAGAAGTCATTCATTCATTCATTCACTCATTTTCGGGCGGACAGTCGGTGGCGGTGAGCGGTCAGAGGGACTAGCTGGCGGGACCAGGACCAGAGCATCCTACCTGTTGCTGCTCAGGACCGGGATGGCGGGTGGGTGGCGAAGGATGAAGGACGGGAGGAAAGGCTGGGTTGCCCCTATCCCCGCCCCGCCCCGCCCCCTCCCCCGGGGCGCAGCCCCTGAGGACCCGCCTCCTCCCGCCACCGCCGCCCCGCCGCCCTGGGTCTGTCTCTCTGGGTCCTCTCTCTGTCTGTCTGTCCCCCTCTTTGTCTTTCTGTTTCTGTGTCTCTCTCTTCTCTCTCCCTGTGTCTCTGTCTCTCCTAGTCTCTCTGTGTGTCTCTCGCTCCGCCTCTGCATCTCTCTCCCAATCTCCCCTTTCAATCAATCTCTGCCTCTCACACACACTCTTGGGAAAAGGCAGTTTCTCAAGGTGTGACCCACACCCTGCATTTAGTACACAGTCACACAAGTCTCTTCTGGGTGTCCCACACAGCCTCTCACTCCCTCACACATGCTATATCCTCCTGTCACACACGGTCACACTCACCACCTTGGTGTCACCCGATCACAGACGACCCCTCTCAGCAGCAGACTTGTGCTCACAGTCCGTTGCACAGAGATGCACAATATCTCACAGCGTGCCACATGGTCTCATGAACAACCTGTGCACAACACACAGACACAATCTCCCGCAGCATCACAGTCCCATGGTCTCTCAAAATGCCACACGTGGTCACTCACAGTCTCTCACAGCGTAGCACATCATCACCAATGACACCTCCCACAACCACACAGTCAGAGATATACAATCTCAGAGTATCAAATGTACAGTTTCTGACAGTGTCACACACAATCTCTCAAAATGTCACACACGTTCATGCACAGTTTAAACTTCTTTCCTTGCTTCGCACCCCATCAGTCTCACGCACTGTAGTGTCTCGCAAGTGACACACAATTAGTTATACAACCTCTTTGTCAAGCACTATCACTCAATATTTTGTGATATTACAGAGTACACCCAGTCACATGTCATAAACAGTCTCACATACCCAGCGACTCCCACATACAGTCACACGCATTCTCACACAATCTCCTTCTGTCACACACAATCTTACACTCACTATCCTTCCACACAGTTAGTCTGTCCCTGTCACACACATACACACACATACACCATTTCTTGGTGCCACACAGTCACACATGAGTCAGTGTCTCACAGAAGCCCTCACAATCTCACACTGCTTGTGTACACTGTCATGTACACAATCTCTCAGTGTCACACACAACCTCACAATGCCACACAGTCACAATTTCCTGGGGTAACAATCTCACAGTATTAAAAATTCACACAGAATGTCCTGGTGTCCACACACTCTCTTGGGATCACCCACACTGACACTATGTCTCTCGTGTACAGTTACACACAGTCTGTGTTACAGTCTGTATCACACACAGCTGTCACCCTCACACGTGGTCTCCCTCATACTCCTATAGTCTCAGTCTCGCATATTCCATCTCTGAGTGTCCCACACAGTCGCACAGTCTCTCTCACGCACACTTACAATTTTACACCCACTTGCACAGTCCCTCAGAATCACACACAATCTCGGTGTCAAATGTAATCACAGTTTCTCACAGTCCATCAGTGTGGCTGACACGTACAGTCTTACACTCAACCTAGTCTTTGTCACAGTCTCCCATCTCTCACACTGCCTTCCCACGCGGTCTCTTGGTGTATCAGTCATTCAATCGCTCCCTCTCACACTCGCTCATTGCTTGTGACACACACAAGCACTCATATCCTCTCCATATTGCACACAGTCTTGCACACATGCCACCTCACAGTCACACACATCTCTGTCATGTACAGTCACACACACCGCCTCTCTCACATACACTGTCACACAGAATCTCTTGGTGTGACACACAATCCCACACAATCTCTCACTCTCACATGTGGCCTCTCGGTGTCACATACAATCACCCAAATAGTGTCTCTCTCACACCCAATCGCATACAATCTCCCAGTGTCATGCACAGTCACAATCTCTCAATATCACAGATGATCTCACAGGGTCACAAGCTCCCACAATCTCGTGGTGTCACACACAACTTCACAGTCATACACAAACTTCCATGTCACACAGTCCCCCCAATCTCTCATTGTTGCACACAACCTCACAATGTCACACAGCCACACACAGTCTCCTGGTGTCACACATATTCTCACAGCATTACATATTCACACAGCCTCTTGGGGTCACACACCATCTCCTGGTGTCACTCACGATACCCCCACAGTGTCTCTCAGATACTCAAGCCACACCGTCTCTCACACGCGCGCGCGTACACACACACACACACACACACACACGCACACGCACACACACAGAGCCATCTGTCTCCTGATAGTCCCCTGCCGGCCACACGGGGGCGCCCGCCGGCCGCCCACCAGCCCGCGCCACTGCCCCGCCGGAGATGGAAACAGATTTAGGGACCAGAGTCAAGGAGGAGACAGAGACACAGAAAGCTGGAGGGAGCTAGAGACCAGAGGCAGAGAACTGAAGCTTGACTGGGACACACAGAAATTCAGAGAGAGAGAGACAGAGACAAAGTCAGAGAGGTAGAGAGAGACAGGAACACGGAGACAGAAGTTTAGAGAGATAGAGACCTAGGGACTAGGAGAGATAGAGAAGGAGATAATGGCAGAGTGAGACAGAGAGACAAGAGACAGAGATGCAGAGATAGGCACACACAGGCTGAGAAGGCACAAAAAAGAAACACAGAAATGTAGGGGTCAGAGAGACAGGGAAACAATTGCAGAGAGAGATAGAGACACAGACAGCGAGCGTACAGGAGAGACACACAGAAATCAGAGACAGGAACTGAGAGACACACACACAGACAGAGACAGAGACAGAGGCAGGTAGAGACAAAGGTACATGCAGACCGAGGCTTCCACGGAGACGCAACTGCGGAGGCGGGGCCTGCAGAGGCGCGTCCCAGGGACCTGGCCTCAGGCGGGCGCTAGAAGGGGCGTGGCGCTAGGGGCGGGGCCTATCGGAGGCGTCCCCCTCGAGGGGCGTGACTTGGGGTTGGACCCGGCCGGGGCCAATTGAGCCCAGTCCGGGCTCGTGGAGGTAGGGGCCCTAGAAAGAGGTGCAGGGCTGGGTAGGAGCGTCTTTTCGGTTTTGACCCACCCCAATTCGGTTTTGACCTCCTGGACAGGGAAGCGAGACGGACGTGGAGGGTACACCAGCCCGGGTCCCCGGTAGTGATTTGGGAGGGGGGTATCGGATACTGGCTCCCCTCCCCCTCCCCCCGCGGGCTCAGCGGGGCCTGGTGGGGGAGGGGAGCTAGGTCCACATCTGGAAAGCATCAGGCGCGCCGGACATGCCAAGGCCCCGGGCCGGGCTGCGGAAGGAGGGAGGGGGTCCGAGGCGCCCCTGTGCGCCCCCGCCCAGAGCAGGGTCCGCCGGCGCCGGGGAGGGGCCTGGGCGCGCGCCGAGCCCCGGCGCGTCCCGCAGCTGGTTTCTATCAGCGGTTCTGGGCCGGGCAGACCCCGAGGAGGAAACCCAGCTTAGTGCGGGGGAAGGCAGGGTGATGACCCCACATCTCCCAACCCCGACGGCGGCCGGAGGCTGGGGGGCGGGGGGAGACGGACAAACACTGCCTGAACTCAGCTTTATCTCTGTTTTTCCCCCGAGCTGCGGACCTGAATCGTCATAAAAATTCCCAGGTGCTGCACACAAATCACCCCAGCCTCATGGCAACCTAGCGGTCGATGGTATTATCGTCTCCATTTTTTGGAGGAGGGAACTGAGACCCTAGATGCGGATTCAGTCTGTCTTTGGTCAATTACTCAACAAACGTTAAATGAATGCCAACAATGAGTTCTAGAATCTAATACGCAATTGCCTACTAGGTAGCTCCACCTGGGTGTCTAGTGGGTATATCAAATTCAAGGCATCCAAAACTGAGTTCCTGACTTCATCCGCCAAATCCCCCTCCTACTTCAGGCTTACCTATCTCCTGACCAAAACCAAACCAGTTGCGTTCCAGTTGATGCCGA